AAAAAAAACCATTTTCAAAGTAAATGACGCACCATCGTCTCTGAATCAACCGAGATATGGCCATTTCCCTGGAATCGGTCCTGAGGGAGGGTTCTGAGTGCGGTCAGTTCTTTCATTCATTCATCAGTAGGCTTCCTTTAGCCTTTGAATGGATCATTGACCACATTGGTCACTTCCGGAACCACCGGAGTACTCCCGAGGGCACCTGTAGTAGGGGAAAATTGCATTTTTTTTTTTCTCCTCCACATCATGCCGTGCGACAGCTCTTTCTTCATGGTTTTGCATCAGTCGGCTTTCTATAGACTTTGAGTTGATGATTGACCTCATTGGCTACCTCCGGAAACACCGGAGTACCTCCGAGAGAACCTGTAGTAGGAGACAATTCCATTATTACACAAAAACATGCCGTACGACAACTCTTTCTTCATGGTTTTCCATCAGTAGGCTTTCTATAAACTTTAACTGGATCATTGATCACATTTCCCGCTCACTGAACCACCAAGAGGCGCCACGGATGCGTTTACCTACTGCAGGAGACAATTAAATTTTTACACCAAAACATTCCGTATGGCAGCTCTTTCTTCACGGCTTTTCAGCAATAGACTTTTTAAAGACTTGAATTGGAGATTGGCTGCTCTCGGCACCACCGGGATGTCTCTGGGGGGGGGGGGGGGGTTCCCTTTAGCAGGGACAATTACATGTTTGAACCAAAATGTGCCGTGCAACAACTCTTTCTTCATGATTTTTCATCAAAAAGGTTTCTGTAGAAGTGGATTATTGACCATATTGGCCAGTTTCGAAACCATCGAGATGCCCCCGGAGAACCTATAGTAGAGGAAAATTATATTTCAACCCAATACATGCCGTACGACAGCTCTTTTTTCATAACTTTTCGTCAACATGTAAGACGTGACGATATGGAAAGATATGAAAAGTTTCGTATACACCGATGAAAATTCAATAATAACATTTAGAAAGATTTTTTCGGAAGCAAAGACTAGCCTTGGACTCGTCTGGCAATTGAATCGTACGGTTTAGGAATTGTTTCAATAGGTGTTTAATACCACTCGTCAATCAAAAGTTTTCCCAACTTTTTTACAGACGTCGATGGTGGGAACACGCTCCTCACTCAAATGGGAAAGCAACGAAAAACAACGCATTTTATTCCAGGGGTGCATTTAAGTTCATCCTTACTTAATATTCAAATTTTGCTTTTGTCTTCGTTCATGTGACTATGCAGCGTGTGAGTAGTAAGATCAGATTGAAAAAGAGAAGAAGACAAAGATGCATATTCATTCTTTGCGATACGTTGTCAAAAATGTAAACAATGAACATTGCGACCAAGATTATCATAAAAGGTAGCCTTGATGTTGACTTGCATCTGTATTAGTATTTCGAAAATCAGCTGATAACCTGTTTTCCTGTTGTTGTGATCCATTCAAAGTCTATAGAAACCCTACTGATGAATAACCATGCAAAAAGAGGTGTAGGAGAGCCGATTTTATCTCTTGGTGCGTCATTTGCTTTGAAAGTGTTTTTTTTTGGCGTATGAACAAAAAACACAGATTAGTAACGGACACCCTGAGAAAAACTCATCACAAATTTAGCAATTTAGACATGCCCACAGGAAACCCGGAATATCTCCGGTATCTGGTAACCATGGTCACTTCCATTGCCCCACTATAAAATTTGATTACTTTTTAAGTCGAATACTTCTTGAAGATTAAAAATCGAACAATATTCAACGAAGGTACAACAATCCAAAGTTGGACAAAATTTTGCTAGTACCCTATATTTCTCACAATCCCTGTACATGGTGATACAGCTTTATCACTATATGGGCGAGGGGGTCGCGTGGGGGAAAAGTGCGGTTTAAGAGCAAATTGTTAACAAACTCGGTCGCTGTCCCATACAAAAATTCAACATGGCTGAACCATGAATTTGACACATTGGAACACCTATATATAGTCACCTTGCTCGGAACATTCCTCTACGTCCCTATCTGCCTGCTTCTGTTCTTGATCTCTGGATCTACTGGACGACTTCTGGCTCTGAGACAACTATCGCGGAGGGAGCTCATTGCTTCGTTGCAGTAGAAAGCTGGAAGCCGTCTGTTATTTAGCTCTAGTTTCCTCGGCATGATCTTGTTACATGCTCCTAATGATTCTGTCTTCCACTTCAGGTCGCAAGTTCTCGTCCTCTCTACTGCCACAGGATTCCGTTGGCCGATGCCCCTATCGGATTGCCTGATGGTCACTATGGGTATATCCTTCACACACTCTCCAATTTATGCTTTCCACCAGCGACGGACTGCAGTCCGCATAAAGTGACGTCGACAATCGATTCCGGGCCATCTCTGCGAATAGTGATGGTCGTGCCTTTATTGAACAGCCTAATTTCCAGCTTTGCCCGAGCTTCCAGAAGAATGTGCCCTTTTGCGTTGGTACATCTATATCCCCACTCCACTGCCTAAGCATTGAAGTCTCCTCCGATGACTAGCGGTCTTCGTCCGATCAGCTCTTCGGTAAGTTCAACCAGCGTCTCGTGGAACTGCTCCATCTTCCATCTGGTGCGTATGAATATTCCGTTAATTTTGGCGATCACGAAATCTTCTTCTTGAATGGGGTATCTGCCCATAACTTGCCCAGACAACCAGTCGTATAACAATGTACACACAGTATCGTAAATGGCTACGGTTTAAATCAAAATCGCATAAAAGAATGGCATAGCTCGCATTATGTTTAAGTTAAATCGTATAGAATGCAAATGCGATGACTCATTTTTCCGTCGTACTGTATCACAAATTAAATCGGATTACATCGTAAGACTTTTCAAAATGAATTTGTTATTACAAATTAAATCGTACATGATGTTAAATCAACTCGTTTAAAATTAAATTAAAATTTGCACGTAAATGGCCTCCACTTTTGTACATACAAGCCATTTATTTACATTCTATACGAATTGTTTGTTTGCATATATGTTTGTATATCACGAAAACAACTTTAAATATACGTGCATTCTGGTTGTCTGGGTGTATTGCAGACATCCCAGCTCTATTCACCAACTAGTTACCTTTATCGGGAGGGACTCGATACAGCTGTGCAGTGTTGCAATAATTGAGGTTTAATTGAGTTACCTCTGTTATTGTTCCGACAATCATTTGGAGCGAAATGCTTGAGAATTCATGCTTAAAAACCAAAAAGTTCAGCAAAATCTTCAGGCTGACGACATCGGAAAAAAAAACTGACAAAATCGGGGGTAGACCAAATCGAAATCGGTTTAACGGAAAGTAAATGTTCATGGCCATAGTTTCAGTGTCCTTTTGAGATTTTGAATTTTGGGTAATTTTGGACACTTTTTTGTCCATATTGCGATGATTTTGCATGAATAAGTGTACGGAAGCACTCAAAAACTAAAATCTCATTTTTAAGACTATTCGATTATTAGTTTTGCCTTGCTAAATTCAGCAGCGCATTAATCACTGATAAGTCGGTTAAAAATTAATTGCTTTATATTTTGGCGTTATGCATTGTTCTCGGTGTTATTTTTGCACTATTTCTTGGAAAACTAACAGAACATTCATGTGCATACCATCAACTAACATTTGACCGGATTTTATGTGATTTGAAGGAAGGAGTTTTTGGCGTTGTGAGTGAGAGTTCGTGAAAATGCATGAGCGAGAGATTTGTTTGTGAATTCGTTCGTGAGTGTATTCACTCAGGAGTTTTCAATGAAGATAATGAATTTAGCGGAAACGGTCAACACACATGATTGACAACAAATAAATACATAGTTGAAGATGCTAAGTTTATGATGATCGATGAGGAGATGAAAGTATAGAGTTAATAGTTCATTATAGTACGGCAGCGTGAAAATTGTATATAGAGAGAAAAGATCGAGCAAGGACAACTTTGAGGAAGGTACGAATCGTGTTGATCACCTCTCAACCCGATTCGTACCTTCCTTAAAGTTGTCCTTGCACGTTTTTTACTCTCTATATACAATTTTTACACTGCCGTACTCTAACCGAACTATCAACTCTATACTTTCATCTCCTCATCTATCGTATAAAATTACCACTTTAAGTTTGAGCACTTTATCGGGGCAGCAAAAAATCATTTATTACTTGATATAGCTGACCCTAAACATATCTTGAGATACATAGTTTAAGGTCTCTGGGTTGACTAAAGCAATATGCACTAAAGGCCATTGAAGTTAGTTCTTTCTATAATTCATCGGAACCTATCCAGTAAACATCAATTGAGTTTTAACATCTCACCAGGCAGTTTGTTTTTACATTTGTGAAATCAACGGAGACCCTTATGACGGAGAAATTGAAATGAAGTAACAACGAGTCACTCACGGCTATGTGATAATCCATTTGACTTGCAAGGCAAATCACTTCACTGTGAGTGATGTGTTGCCACTTCACATCATATTCACCGGGCTAATAGATTTGAGTCGTCTAGTCATTCATAAAATTTCGCTCCCGCACAATGTTCAGATTACAAAGAATACTCTCACAATAGCACTTGCTTCGACATAAACGATTTCATGAGCAAACAGAAGACCTTACGTCTCATCCACTAGGCCACCGTCTGCAATCTTTAACTGCATATTGGTTATGCAGGCAATCTTGTTGAGTCAGGCTTTACAGTGTTTGAACCACTTATTTGGTGGATACGAAGAGGTTGCTATAGTTCAGCAGTTAGTTTTTTTGGGGCACGATTCTTTGCTAACGTATTACTTCCCAATTTTACCCTTATGAATACCGCATTTACCATGACAGCACAAATCTCGAGAAGATCGATTTCAACTTCCAGCTCGCCGTCGCGTTCAAAATCAGTCCAATAATGCGCATTCCCTAAACCGAGCTCGTTCCATTCCTAGCGTTCGCACGGTCCTCTATTTTGACACTCCTTTAGAAATGATTCTGATTAACCCTATACACTTGTTAATACTAGAAAACCTGTACAAAATATTTATAATAATAGCTACTTGCCTCTAGAAACGAAGTCCTCTAGCTCTCTTCTGTCGTGTGGGAAAGAACCCCAACCCATCTCGTGCCGACCCACTACCCGGCATCGCGGCACGAAACCTCAACAAGTGAATATCTATCGTGAACCCTTCCTTCCCACCGGTGACCCTTAGACCGCATCAAACAATTTAATACTTTTGCTGAATACAGTCTTCACGATTACCAGCACTATTAGTATACAGAGTGTCATCCTAAAGCTAGTGAGACTGGAGGCCATCGTCGTTGCAGCCGTTTGCCGTCGCAGCAGCATCGTGGACACGGCAGAGCAGGAAGAGAGGGAGGAGAAAAGCGTCGTTGGGAGCCATCGCAGGATCCACGGAGAGGACCAATAGTAGGTCCAGGTCAGCAGAAGGGCCGCCATCCATCCACCGGTGGCAGAGCTCGTTAGTCGTCGACTGATGGCTGCGGCACTGCTCGCAACTGTTGGATTTTTCGGATGTTGCATTGCGGCTGGCTTTTCACCTGTGTGGGGGGAATAGAAAGAGAAAGAGCAGTGCATTAAAAATCCATCCAACAACGGTTGTGGCTATGCCAGACTGGATCGTTATGAAGTGAAATTCGGTGTGCCTGAATGAGGGTGGAGCAACTTTCCACTTTCGAAACACCCGGGGGAAGATTTATTGTTATGGAAATATTTTTATTTCGTCAGGATTCCTATTTTGCCTGGCTGCTCCGCTTTGACTGGGACACATAACGTGGCGAATGTGACAGGACAGTGAAATGTGATCGTTGGTTAGGGTTTTTGACAGGGTGGAATGATGTGAAGGTCGATGGATTTAGTCGGGAATATATGTTCGCATGACCTTGGTAGTTTTTTTTTTCTCGATGCACTCAGATTTGAAGTGGATTTAAGTGCCACAACGTAATAGTTCAATATGTTATCAACTCAGGGCTCCTAAAATGACTTGAATCATATTTAACTAACCACCAACAAATAATTACATTCAACGGAAAGAAATCGAGTCCAATTCAAGTCACTTTAGGCGTCCCCCAAGGCTCTCATTTGGGACCTCTTCTTTTTATTCTATACGTAAACGATATTTCTTTCATTCTCAAAAAACTTAAATTGCTTACTTATGCCGACGACATGAAGCTCTTTTTGGAAATAAGAAATGAAGAACACATCAATATATTCCGGAATGAAATACACACATTCTACATATGTTGCAACAAAAGTCTACTAGAATTGAATGTAAAAAAATGTAACTTAATATCATTTAGCAGGAAAAGAACAACTTCAAATATTTCAATTGCACTAGGAAATCAAAATGTAGAAAAATGTGAAAGAGTTAGGGATTTAGGAGTTATCTTAGACTCTAAACTAACTTTCATAGACCATTACAACACAATTATTCACAGGGCAAATAACATGCTAGGCTTTATCAAGCGCTTTTGCTATAACTTTCAGGACCCATACACAATTAAAGCACTATATATCGCCTATGTGAGGTCACGACATTGACTGCATCACCATTGCATTCCTTTGGTCCTGTAGCGGATTAAGTCAATTCTAACGCTTTCCACACTTCTGGAAATAGACCTGCTCTATGCTGTCAATCATGTCGAAACTCGAACACGCAAAAACACTTTTATCTCAAATCGCAGTCCTTCACTCCGATCAGCCAAATACCAAGTCCAAACACTGCATGATTATGCGTGTTTTCGGTATATATTCTTTAACGAATCCACCACACTCGCGTGAACAAAGTCGTGGCTCATCGCACCAATTGAACAACACATTACACGCGGTTAAGGTCAAATCGGGTAACAAGATAACAAAACATTTGCAAAAAAGTATTTAATCAAATGAAACGACTACCCATGCGATATAGAAACTAATAAAATGCGATCTCCGGTCCAAAGTAACACAGCCGAAAAACTCCAACCACTCGGTTCTAAAAACTGATGACAGAACTGCTCATGCTTACAAAAAATAAACAATTACTGTGATGATACATAATTAGGATTACCATATCAAAAACTTGAAAGGAGTACGTTTCAGTTGAGGTTTGGAGATAAAGGAGGACAATATTTCCTTTTCTTAACATTGAAGGAGTACAATGAGTTTTTATCCAACGTTTGAATAATATGTGCGCTATCACAAAATTCATGATTTTGTAAGGTTCAATTGAGATTGTTTATAACTTTAATTCTTTATCAATTCAATTCATTTTCTCGTTAAACTTCTGAAAAATGCATGAAACTAGCCATCATAATTTATTTTTAATACAAGAAAATGATTAAGTCTAGCTGTTTTTGCATGAAAACTACAGCTTTACAGCCTTAAAATCATCCCAATTTTTATCATGAACAAAACTTAGGATACATGTTATCGCTGATTGAAACCAACATGAAAAAGGAACATCTAAGAAGCCTGATAATTTTACCATTGATTCAGCAAAGGACTCTAAACCAATACCAGAACATCAAAAACGAACACATGTTGGATTCTATCTAAGGCTGTGTTCCATTTGGTGAATTTTCACTTGCATTTTAAAGTTGGGAAATTTTTAAATAACCATGGTATTGCATAAGACTTATTTCTGACAGACAAACAATCCATTTTGACAAACACCTTCTCGAAAATTGGCCAAGAGGGATTTTCGAACATTTTAATATATTTTCAAAATTTAAATGCAAATTCCCCAATAGAAACACAGTCTAATACTCCGTACAGAATATGGCTTATATCATGTACTACTCATACACTTTTTTTTTTTCCTCTATTCGGGATCTAACACCACTGTGACCAGTAATTTGATCTATTGTAGTATATCCCGTGTCCTTAGTTTAGTGCATGTCGTATTACTCCATCACTATTGAGAAATGATGAAGTATTCGATTTTTTTACAGTTGCCACTCTTGCATTTATCGCAAGGATCCGACTCTAATTGAAAGGTCTTGCAATTTATACCCTTGTAAGTGTTGAAATCCCCTCGAAAGGCGCACTCCTTTGTCAGTCAAAATTGAATTCCTTAGCAACAAAATTAAACAATGACACTGATAATGACCATGCATCAGAACCCTAGTCTTAACCACTTCAAACTAGAGAACAACGAATAAAGGATTAGGAATCACATAGGTGAAGACTAACTAACTCATTTTTTCCTTATTTCAAGATCATCCTCGGTGGACAAAGCCGAGTCTTGTCACTATCAACAAGACATAAAAAGTAACAAGGACTAAGAGGTGTTCCTTGGATTACTGAAAAATCCTGTTCACCTAGTTTGAAGTAGTCAGGACTAGGAATCGATGGTAGATCTTACATCCCGTAACGTACCACGAAAAGGTGATCTACCCACGTTACGGGGCACTCATACATCTAGTTTTCACTGGAAATCCTATGTTTGAGTGCTCATTGCAAGACACCCTATATTACATGACACAAGTCATAGTCTAAGGCTCTAACGTGAGTGAGCTACCAGCTATGTCAAATCGACGATCAAATGCATTGTTTACAAAAACTGATACATCCCTTCTAAAACGTAATCGAGATTTGGTGAGTTTTCACTTAAATTTAACGCTTCGAAAATACATTATAATGTTAGAAAATCTCGCTGTTGTTGATCTTCAGAATTTCGAGGAATTGTTTGTCAAAATTGATCCCTGGTTGGTCAGAAATAAGTCTGGTATTCTACCTATGGAATAGCAGGTTTATTTTAAAATTTCCATCGGTCCATTTTGTGCTCTGCAAACAACGCTCTTTGAAAACAATTTTATGAATATGATATTGGAAAAAATGCAAAAAAGGAGGACATTTTCGATGTGTGATGTAGAAAAGTTGTTGAAAACGGAGGACATGTCATCTTTTAGGATAGCATATGTTAATCCTATACATAATGTCATATTTTGGTAGCGAGCCCATGCAGCACCACAATTTCGCCCATTTGAGCGGGTTTCCTTTATATCTTTGTCATCATCTTCAATCATCTTTGTTTAGATCATCACTCATTAATTTGTAGATAGTCAGTAGCTCGAGGTGAACACAGGAAATTGAAATTTGATTCAAAGTTTGTTGTTAGCTCGTTCGGTGGAATAAAGTTGTGGAAATTAGTAAACCAGTAGTGCAGTGTATACCCGAAAACTACCTCTGTTTTTATATCTCCTGATTTGATTGTTCATCAGCGTCGAGTTAACTGTAGTGCCAAAAATACGGCTCTCTCGCATTTCTGTTCTCGCCGCTGTTCTCGCATCGTATGCATTTTTCTTATCTTCCATATGGGTCATTCCAGTTCAAGTGGGTACAGAATTTAAAAAATATGTGGTCCATGTCACCGATTTGAGCCAAACTTGGCCAAAACGCTTATTTTGGAATTCTGAACTAACGCCTTTTTTATTTTGCTCTAAAATGCCTAGATCGTTCTGGGCTACAACCCTGGATTTTTGAGATTTTTAAAAAATTTAAACTTTCAGAATAGATTACTCTACAACCAAATAAACTATTCGTGATATTTGAACGTCAATTTGGAGGGTTTTTAATGTAGATTCTTATAAATGCATAAACATTTTGTTTTGTTATAGTTACTACAGTAAACAGACTGATTACCGGCAGGTATTAAAATTTTCAAAAAAATGGCCTATTTTCGCCATGGGCAGGATTTTTTATTTCTTACTATTTTGGGCTCAGTTATTTAGTTGTTTATTTATTTATTTATTTATATATTTATTTATTTATTATTATTTTTTTATTTATACGGTTTTATTTATTTATTTTTTTATTTTTTTATTTCATTTTTGTTTTCATTTATTTATTTATTTATTTATTTATTAATTTATATATGAATTTATTAATTAATTAATTTATTCATTTTATTTATTTTATTTATTCTATTTATTTTATTTATTTTATTTTTTTATTTACATGCAAAATCTCCTTAATAAAGAATTAGAAAAAATAGTTTGAAGCAAGCCTAAATATTGACAATCATCATCACTTTCTCACATAAATAGGATGTTTAGGAACAATTAAAAACTGTTTATTTAATTATTTCCATTAAATTGTACATTTAGAGTGGAAGAAAGCATCGTTTGTTAAGGAACACGTTTCAAAAGTGCCTTTTTTAAACTAGTTATGGTGACCTTGCTTGTGTTTGCTTAGAGTCGTGTTGATTAACTCTGAAGACGACATCAAAGCAGCCGGACATTCTTGATTGGAATTTAATCCGAGGATAATACCGGTTGGAGCTTACCACCATTAATGGAATTGTGAACACATTATCTTATAACTGTCAACGCCATAAATATAATATCATTAAAAGGGATTGTTGAGAAACGAAATAGAACATTGTAGTGACTAACTTCACCTCGTTTTACGGTACCATAAAGTTCTCTTTGCCTCAATCCAATCCGCTTCGGTAGAATGCCTAACTTTTCCAACTAACATCCCCCAGAATAAACGCTGAAATCCAAATAGCGTTTCTTCGTAACGCAACATAGACTAAAGCACCTACAATACTCTAGTA